GCAGGAAAGTGCTGTCGCAGCAAGGACTCTCCACCCCCCCAAAATAACACAAAGGCCAAAAGCCTCTTTCATGTGGAGGCCTGGCTCAGAGTGACTGTCAGGGGGAATGGAAATGGCTCATGTTCTGCAGGGAGGGAAAGGATCCTCTCCGGCTAGCAACGGGCCATGGGGACCAGGAATAGTTTTGGTGCCGGGGCCTTCAAGGTGGTGATTTGATGAATTCCATTTCAGGTTGATTTTAGACACACTCTGCTACTTGGATGCATCCCAGAAATTATTTCCATTTTGAAAAGGGAAGTTTTTATGTCACTGTACGAGGCATTAGTGAGACTTAACCTAACCTGTTCCTTGCGCAGTGCTGTTCACTTTGAGATCCATTTGTTCAAACTCCAGACATGCAGAATGACTGGTGGAAGGAAGGAAGAAAGAAATTAGCTTACAAGCGAAGACTTAAACAATTTGTTTTGCTTAGTAGTGCAGCTGGAGGCTGGTGTATACCTCTGTGGGGAGCACAGAAGGGTAACTGTTTTCTCACAGAACATCAGAGAGGGAATAAATAAAAACCGCAGGGAAGAAGAGCTATTTAAGCAAAAGGGCCAAACTTTGTAAAACAAAAGGATTTAAACTGACCATGAGTAAATATAAGAGGAAAATACTTAACTACCCAGCACTTCACCCTGGTAAACTTTCCAATCAGACTAGTGGGGGCAAAAGCCCCAGAGTACTTTCAGCCTGGAGCAGGATCAGTTCTTGGAAGGGACAATGCGACGTGACAAGCCTCAGTAGCAGAGTGCTGGGTCAGATCCAGGGCTTCCTTGTAGTGCGATGCTCCCTGGTTCCTAAACAAGACAGGAAGCAGATCAGGCAGATCCACCTCCTCTTTTGTTTGGGATGAACCCAAATGCAATTCTGAAGGGTCTCAAGAAGGACATGAAATCCGTTGCAGCTGGAGTGGCCACAGCGGGATAATCGGGCCATGGCACAGAGCATGAGTTAGGGGAGAGGATGGAATGGAGGGATATCGCATCTTTGAACTCTCCAACTATTGATATTTGACCGAAGTGAAAAGAGTGGGAGTGGTCTCTGTCACCTCATTCTTCCTTCCAAATGTAAATCCAAAATTTCCCAGGTGGAACCCCACTTGTTCATTGGCACTGGAAGGCATGGAGACGAGGCCAGCAGTGATCCTACAGCACAGCTGTATCCTTCCCCATCCAAAAGCTGTGCTTCTCCTCCCCACGGTGCTGGCTGCTGCAGTCACTGCCTTCCCCACTGGCCCAGGCTGACAATTGCTTCTGCAGTGCCTGGGTCTGTGCCATGTGCTGGCCAAGCTGCAGACTACTCTTTTGTATTAAAAGTCTCAACCCAGTGTTAGGCTGCATACATATATATATATATATATGTATACATATCAGCTCATTTGTAAAGCACAAGTACCCTGATTTTGCTTTTATGTTTCTCTGACAGATTCAAGATGCCTCTCCTCGGTCACATCTTCATGGGGCCTTGACGCGGAGTCCACCAGGAGGTCAGTGCCATGCTCCTCACCCACAGGAGGAGAAATGATCGTGAAAATGCTGCTTTCCTCACAGTTCTCCTGTGTTACAGTGGATTGTGGAAGGCCCCCTCATTATGTCCTCTCAAAACTCTGCCTTGTCTCATTTTCTTGTTTTATCCATGTTAAATGATGGAAAATTCCTGTTGAAATTTTACTTTCAAAATAATGCCTTACAACCAAATCGGAACAGCTCACTAAGCCAATACTTTGGTTTTTTTTAAAAGTTTAGTTCTATTGCAATTTTTCTTTTCTATCACGTTTTCCTGGCCTTGGAAGAGGATGTAAGTACATCTCAGAGGCATGTAACTGCTTATGCGAAAGGGACATGTGTGCTCAGGCAATAAGCATACATCTGCTCCTGGAAGGTTTTAAGCATTGTACAAACACATAAAGCAGTCCAAGTTACAGAAGTTGTTTTGTAGAAAATTTAATTTTGTGCAACCGAACTTTGGTATCCTTCTTGGAAAATATATATGCCTGGGTAGGTGCTTTCTATTGTGTTTTTCCATGTAAATGAATATATGGAATTTTACAGCTCACAATTCTAACAACAACAAAGAAGTTTTTCACATTAATGTTGCTCTATAAACAGTTTTTTCTGCTTTTTCAGTGTTTTCAGTGTATCTGTGTATATTTGGAAAGCAATTCTTAAATGGAAAGAAATCAAAACTAAGCGTGGAAAGGAGTTTTCACAGTGAAGGCTGATGTTCTTAATCATTGATAACTGTGTGTGGTTTACTGTAAAGGTCCCATTTTGTTCCCCTTTAGTGTCACTAGCAGCTTCACCATGGCTTCAGTGGAAGTGGAAGGGCCTGTTTATTTCATTTACTTACAGCTTTTTGCAATGCTTTTTAAATCTCCGTCAGCAAGATTGTAAGTGTTTGTATCTAGGGCTTTAATCTTCCCTCAAGAAGAAGAGAAACTATCTGAAAAAAACTGATGAAACTTTGCTTTGGGACTACCTTTCTTCTCCACTTTTAGGGAACTATGATTTAAACCCACCTCAGTGAATGGTCAGCAGATGACGGTGAGGTCTTAGCTTCCAAACAGACTATAAAACCCTTTGATGAAACTGCTTTTGGAAACAATTGCTAATTATAACGTAAAACAAGCCATTCCCATGGAATCTTAAGTCTCTGACTCCAGTCACCTCTTAAGCAGAAATAACATTTTAACTGACATTTTTTAGCATAGGGGGACAGTTATTTATAATTGGTTTTGACTCTGGAGATTATATATTTTGGACTGTTCATAAGATGAATGCATTCTTTGGTGTAATGCTTAGGAAGGAGGAACTGAACATATGTATAAATTGTGCTGAATGTAGTCAGTTAGAATAATCTGTGTCCTGTGTATTTCGAGATCAGCAGGACTGGGATTTGGTTTCTTTACATGGGAACTTGACCTTTTGTTTGCTGGGAGGAGGTTGACCTTTTGCTCCTTTGTTAGTTTACAAGTCTCAAACCAAACGAGAGAGAACCTTGCTTCTCTTTTAACCAAGAAACACGAGAGATAAAATTAAGTAAATGTTAAAAACTGGATATTGTTGCTGGTTAATTTTCTTAGCTAATATAGCAGCTTATGATTTAACAATAAGCAGATTTATTGTGGATCTTTTTTCAGCCTGTTTGCAAAATACTGTATCTACTAAAAGGCTGCTATGCTTACTCACAGGTTCATGTCCTCAGGAGTGCCTTAATGGAGCAGCCTGCACAGAGGCAGGTGACTGTGACTGTCAGTTATTTCAGGCTCAAGGAAGCAGGTGCCAAATTGGTAAGTTTTGGGCCAAAACAATCAAGTTTCAGCTTCAAATGAGACTTAAGGTGCAGGTTTTTAAAACAACACTGTTAACAGCATATTTGTGGTTCCTCTGTAGTAGGACTATCATTCTACTAGTAGCTAAAAGGATTAAAATAATACGCGTTAGGGATATAG